TTGCCAGTGTAAATCTTGCTATTCAATACATAACCACTGCTGGACTCTGCAAGGGTGAAAGCCTTTATCCCGAATCTTCCTGGCTTTATAGGAATAAATTGTCTGAAGTGCACTTTGCCTTTGAACTTAATTAAAGTCTCATCTATGGCAAGTTGCCTCTCAGGTGTGTAAACTGCCTGAAACCTTGCTATAAGCAAATCCAGGAAAGGCTGAATTTTGTACAGCTTATTGTAATCTTCAGAATCTCTTGGGGGGGCACGGGTGTTGTCGGCAAAGTGCAAGTACCGCAAGATTTGCAGGAAACGTGTCCTGGACATCACAGATGGGAAGAAAGGAGAACTTAGGATGGGATCAGTGCTCCAGTAAGAATTAAGACTTGGTTTAGTTACCAGCCCCATATTTAGATAAAGACTAATCCAAGCCTTCATTTCATCTTCTGTTACTGGATACCATGCAGAGCTTTCTGCTGGCCCTCTCTTCTGCTCTGCATACAAATTAGTTTGACTAACTAACAACTGCCATACCTCTTGTGTAAAAAAGAGCTCAAAGAAATCCAAACATTTCAGGTTTCTTGTGTTGACATTTACCGGTATTCCTGGTTCTTCACTGAAGTCAATATCTACTCTGCGTTCGACCGTTCTTGACCATTCTTCAGGAAATTGCACTTCAGTCTCAGTGTTTTCGTCCTCTGCGGACTCTTCACTAGAATCCTCTGAGCTTGATTCAGATGCACCAGAGTAAAATTCCTGATCAGAGGCTCGGTGCTCGTTTAAATTAGCAAGTGGGAAGTCTTCTTCGTCGATAAATTGAATTTCAACATCGTTTTGAACGCTAAAATCTAGTGTAGCATCATCTCGAAGAGCCGCCATTTTTAAATCACCTCGCTCAAAACGTTTAACTAAAAGAAAACTCGCAAAATTCGCTAAAAACCCGCTCGATTGAAGAAATTTTCGAAAAAACTGAAGAACTACTTTGTGTAGTCTAAACCAAAATGTAGCATTAGTTTCCAGCCCCTAAAATCCCTCTTTCAAGGACGCCCGAATGGGGCCTGTATTTAAGTGGCCACATATGGCCACTTGGTACGCAAAGGGTTAAGTCATTGAAGTTTCAGTTTCTGATGAGGAAGTTTGCCATATTGGACTCTCGCATGACTCGTAGATGTCATTTTTATCGAAAGTGATTTAGTCTCAAACGTCATTAAGATGTCAGCAACCTTACAATCTACCAGCAATCGCTCGCAAAACGAAAGTTTGAAAGAAATGTTTCAGCCACACGAAGCACTCGATCATCCATGTGATTTGACTTTGTTGGTGGAAGACGGAAAAGAATTCAAAGCTCATAAAGATGTTTTGTCGAAGGCCAGTCCCTTTTTTGAAAAGCTGCTGAACAGCGACATGAAAGAGGCTAAAGAGGGAATAATTCGGTTGGAGATGAGTAACGAGTTAGTGATGTCTGCTGTACTGGAGTTTATTTACACTGGTAGCGTTCAAACATTAGCCCCTCGAGAGATGGCCGAAAATCTTGTCTTTATGGCTGATTACTTGTTTCTTCCGAAATTAAAAGCTCTTGCCATGCGAGTTGTAGAAAACTTAGAGGCCATGAATGCTTCAAACTGTATTTCAATCTACCATTTTGCAGAATTGTATCGATGCGACGAAATTCTGTCCAGGACCAGACAGTTTATCCTAGCAAATTTCACATCCGTAGCCAAAACAAACGAGTTTTTTAATTTGTCCAACGAGGAAGTTGAGATGTGGATTTCCAGTGACGAAATAGATGTGACCACCGAGGAAAATGTGTTTGAGATCATTTTAGCATGGATTGATCGAGATAAAAACGAACGAAAGAAATATTTCGCTGATTTATTTCGTCAAGTTCGACTTGTTTATGTATCACGCGACTTCCTATGCGGTGTCATTGCGACCAATTACCATGTGAAAGTTAATGACGGATGTTTGGATCTTGTGAAGGGCGCTCTGAAGGCAATTGACTCAAACAACTTCGACGATTTATCTACCCCACCAAGGAAGGCCCCGACCATTGTGGTGTGCAGTGAGGAACACGTTCTTTGTTATTTCCCTCGCGAAGACAGATGGTGCAATGTAGGAGACAGTTTAGGTTCACATCACCGAACTCAGATAGCCTCTATTTGTCATAACGAACTGTATTCTTTTTCTCCATCAAATTCAGAGGTCCCTATGTCACAAATGCACCGCTATGATTTGTTTTCTAACACTTGGACGCCATTACCGTACTATGAAGAAGGAGCTATGAAGCAGATAGTTGTCAGAAATGGTTGTGAAATTTATGGTGTGGTAACTAAATACAGGTGCCCTGAGTGCAACAGAAGACTGACTGGTTTCTGTCCGTGTCTCCTTTCATTATACGGCCAGGAACATTATTCATGCTTCAAATGCAAAGGACGACTTTCACATGCAGTCTGCCAGACTTGCCTTGAAGGCGAATTCGACGTTTCTATGATTTCGAGGTACGCACCGGAGTCAAACGTTTGGCAAGACATTACATCTTTTGATTCGGGTTTAAGGGAAAGAGTTTGCCTTGTAGCCAGTGATAATTTTATTTATTTCATTGGCGGTGGAGTACGCGGAGAAATGAACAAATACCTGAGCGATGTTGACAGGTATGACCTTAACCAAAACACTTGGGAGAAAGTAGCTGACATGCAAGAGGAGAGAATGCTGCCTTGTGGTGCTGCAGCACATGGAAAAATTTTCATTGCTGGTGGAAACAAAGGGGCGCCTGCTGACACTTGTGAAGTGTACAACGAACGATCGAACGAGTGGGAGATTATATGGGGCCTGGTCACTAGGAGGAACCAGTTCCGCCGTATGGTGTGTTGCGATGGCAACCTATACTTATTGGGTGGTTGCTATGGCGGCGACTCTGAAGGAGCAATAGTTGAGCGCTATGATTATGATAACGACGAGTGGATCAAAACCACCACAATACCTTTCCAACAGAATGAGAATGAAGAACTTGGCTTTGCAAGTGCCTGTTCAATGGAAATTTCTAAAAATAATCTCAGCTACACTGTCTTGGATTCAGCGTCAATTGGTGTGACAGAGCATTTGACAAAAAAGACAACTCGCGCTAATCAAGTGGCGAAGACTTCTCATTAGATGACTGTAATAGTAACATCGCTGTTAAGTTTTCATTGTAGCGTTTATTAAGTGCGCGAGACGCGAAATTTCACGAATGATTAACTCATAACCAAGCGTTATGTGTATTTTGTGGACGACAAGGCCTAGAGACTCATGTTGTGAACAGCTCTCGTCCGTTTCGTTTGCGAACAAACAGCGTTTCCATGAATGTATACTCAATTCTTCTACTACGCTGTACTTTTAATATTTTAGTCTTAATTTGGCTTGGAAACCTTCATGGTACTTAAACCAGATTGTTTAGAATTTTATCATTGTTTTTAATATCAGTGCAGTACGGCTGAACCCACCTTATGAGTGCTCACAGGTGACACGATCCACTTTCTATAGACGCCAACAAAATTTCACTCCATCATTTTCGCCATTCAGGAAACCACTCCCCCATCTCAAGAGAACCATATTTTAGTGACTCGTTGCCATGGTGTTCAAATTCAAGGAGTCCTTCTGAAAGTGGGAAAAAATTCCTAGCTCTCTGAAATATCTGATGATGGTTTGTTGGTAGCTTCATTGGTTCGTTCTTTTTTTTTCCGATCGTTCTTTCGATTCGTTCGTTCGTTGGTTTGTCGATGGGTGGGCTCTTTGTTTTGTTGGCTGGTTGTTTCGTTCTTTTGCTTCGTTCGTTGGTTCGTTCATTCTTTCGTTTGGTCGGTCGGTCGGACATTCGTTCGTTTGTTCGTTTAGTTGGTTTATCGTTCGCTCGCACGATTATTCTTTCCTTCGCTTGCTCGTCTATTGGTACAGTTTATTACACCCTCAGTCTGATTTTTACAAAAGTTTTGTTTAGTTAGATTTACTGACAAGCACAGGCCTTTTGCTTTGGATTGTTGCCGATATTTATGACGCCTTTAATTAATCTAATTTTTACAAGCTTATGAAGTTTTTCTATAATTAAATTAAATGAAAACCACAGGCTTTTTGCTATGGTCATTTGTCAGAGTTTCTTGTTATATTTATATTAAGTTAGAACGACAAGTCTTTAGCTGTGGATGTTTGTCAGTATTAATCACACCTTTAGTCTAATTTTTACCAGAAGTTTTTTTAAAAATCTATTTAGTGAGAACCACAGACCTTTTACCAGAGAGTTCTGCCGATATTTATTTTTTTGGAATTAAAAATGTTTTAAAGAACCTCACATTTGAGTAACCATCAAAAAGAAACAATTCTGCCGGTAGAATTATATTGCAATCTGAGTTTAATCCACCGTTATATTAATGAAATCCAATTTGATTGCAGTTTTGGTCGAGAGATTTCGTTCGGTTCTTTCTCTATAAAGAGGATTTCGCAGTCCTTTCTTTTAATTTTGCTGAAATTATGTATTTCTGCAAGCAATTTCAGAACACCTGAACGAAACTTTATATTCGATCATCAGTTTTGCTTCTCCGTATGGAGATTGGGGCCATAAATTTTACTTCTTCAAGACACACTGTCAGACGCCGCCAGCCCTGGCTCTACCCAGGATCACCATTCGCTCTTTCCCCACTGTGCTACGCCATGTTTCTCTGAGTCTTCTTCTCTTGCGTTTTCCTTCCGGTACCCATGCATATGTCGGTGCAACTCGTGGTAGGGAACTGTTATCAATTCCCAGCACGTTTCCAATCCATGTCCACCTCCTTCTCTTTGCTTGGTCGCTGATAGTTTCCATGTTAGCTCACATGTGCTTCTCTTCATTTGACACTCGCATGGGCCAATAGATTTTTAAACGCCTACGCAGGAACTTGTGCTGGAAAGTATCTAGCTTGGCTTCATCTCCCTTTGTCATCCTCCCACGATTCACATCCGTACAGCAACACAGCTATTACATTGGACTTGAATATCCTTATCTTATTGTTTGATTGATTGATTGATTGATTGATTGATTGANTCATAGTACGGTAATGGCGTCCAAGTGTTAGAAAACAAATCATAGCGGTGCATTTGTGACATAGGGACCTCTGAATTTGATGGAGAAAAAGAATACAGTTCGTTATGACAAATAGAGGCTATCTGAGTTCGGTGATGTGAACCTAAACTGTCTCCTACATTGCACCATCTGTCTTCGCGAGGGAAATAACAAAGAACGTGTTCCTCACTGCACACCACAATGGTCGGGGCCTTCCTTGGTGGGGTAGATAAATCGTCGAAGTTGTTTGAGTCAATTGCCTTCAGAGCGCCCTTCACAAGATCCAAACATCCGTCATTAACTTTCACATGGTAATTGGTCGCAATGACACCGCATAGGAAGTCGCGTGATACATAAACAAGTCGAACTTGACGAAATAAATCAGCGAAATATTTCTTTCGTTCGTTTTTATCTCGATCAATCCATGCTAAAATGATCTCAAACACATTTTCCTCGGTGGTCACATCTATTTCGTCACTGGAAATCCACATCTCAACTTCCTCGTTGGACAAATTAAAAAACTCGTTTGTTTTGGCTACGGATGTGAAATTTGCTAGGATAAACTGTCTGGTCCTGGACAGAATTTCGTCGCATCGATACAATTCTGCAAAATGGTAGATTGAAATACAGTTTGAAGCATTCATGGCCTCTAAGTTTTCTACAACTCGCATGGCAAGAGCTTTTAATTTCGGAAGAAACAAGTAATCAGCCATAAAGACAAGATTTTCGGCCATCTCTCGAGGGGCTAATGTTTGAACGCTACCAGTGTAAATAAACTCCAGTACAGCAGACATCACTAACTCGTTACTCATCTCCAACCGAATTATTCCCTCTTTAGCCTCTTTCATGTCGCTGTTCAGCAGCTTTTCAAAAAAGGGACTGGCCTTCGACAAAACATCTTTATGAGCTTTGAATTCTTTTCCGTCTTCCACCAACAAAGTCAAATCACATGGATGATCGAGTGCTTCGTGTGGCTGAAACATTTCTTTCAAACTTTCGTTTTGCGAGCGATTGCTGGTAGATTGTAAGGTTGCTGACATCTTAATGACGTTTGAGACTAAATCACTTTCGATAAAAATGACATCTACGAGTCATGCGAGAGTCCAATATGGCAAACTTCCTCATCAGAAACTGAAACTTCAATGACTTAACCCTTTGCGTACCAAGTGGCCATATGTGGCCACTTAAATACAGGCCCCATTCGGGCGTCCTTGAAAGAGGGATTTTAGGGGCTGGAAACTAATGCTACATTTTGGTTTAGACTACACAAAGTAGTTCTTCAGTTTTTTCGAAAATTTCTTCAATCGAGCGGGTTTTTAGCGAATTTTGCGAGTTTTCTTTTAGTTAAACGTTTTGAGCGAGGTGATTTAAAAATGGCGGCTCTTCGAGATGATGCTACACTAGATTTTAGCGTTCAAAACGATGTTGAAATTCAATTTATCGACGAAGAAGACTTCCCACTTGCTAATTTAAACGAGCACCGAGCCTCTGATCAGGAATTTTACTCTGGTGCATCTGAATCAAGCTCAGAGGATTCTAGTGAAGAGTCCGCAGAGGACGAAAACACTGAGACTGAAGTGCAATTTCCTGAAGAATGGTCAAGAACGGTCGAACGCAGAGTAGATATTGACTTCAGTGAAGAACCAGGAATACCGGTAAATGTCAACACAAGAAACCTGAAATGTTTGGATTTCTTTGAGCTCTTTTTTACACAAGAGGTATGGCAGTTGTTAGTTAGTCAAACTAATTTGTATGCAGAGCAGAAGAGAGGGCCAGCAGAAAGCTCTGCATGGTATCCAGTAACAGAAGATGAAATGAAGGCTTGGATTAGTCTTTATCTAAATATGGGGCTGGTAACTAAACCAAGTCTTAATTCTTACTGGAGCACTGATCCCATCCTAAGTTCTCCTTTCTTCCCATCTGTGATGTCCAGGACACGTTTCCTGCAAATCTTGCGGTACTTGCACTTTGCCGACAACACCCGTGCCCCCCCAAGAGATTCTGAAGATTACAATAAGCTGTACAAAATTCAGCCTTTCCTGGATTTGCTTATAGCAAGGTTTCAGGCAGTTTACACACCTGAGAGGCAACTTGCCATAGATGAGACTTTAATTAAGTTCAAAGGCAAAGTGCACTTCAGACAATTTATTCCTATAAAGCCAGGAAGATTCGGGATAAAGGCTTTCACCCTTGCAGAGTCCAGCAGTGGTTATGTATTGAATAGCAAGATTTACACTGGCAAGGAAAACAATGAGGTTCAGAGAGATTTAGGGAGGAAGGCAGTTATGTCTGTGTTGGAACCTTATCTAGATAAAGGATTCTATGCCTTCATGGACAATTATTATACATCTGTAGCCTTGTTTGAGGAGCTAGAAGTAAGGAAAACACTTGCATGTGGCACTGTAAGGTCCAACAGGGTACACTTGCCAAAGGAGATTTGTGGTGTCAAAGAAAAGGCAGTGAAAGATCTTGTAAGAGGGCAGTGTCTGTACAGGCAAAAGGGAAATTTGACTTGCGTGACATGGCGTGACAGGAAGCCAGTTAGTGTTTTAGCTACCCTTCCCACCAGCACAATTGACTCAAGCACAGTGCAGCGGTCAGTCAAAACAAACGGGAAGTGGGAAAAGAAGGAATTCAATCGACCAGGTGTAATTGACCTCTACAACACCTACATGGGTGGCGTAGATGTGTCTGACCAGAGAAGTGTTGCGTATGCTAGACTAATGAAGGGGTCAGTCTGGTATTACAAAATTTTCTTTTACATGATAGAGGTGTGTGTATCAAATGCACATATTCTCCACACCAGGTCACAAAATCATGTCAGTAAAAGAGCTCTAGAGTTTAGAATGCAACTGATCAGTGGATTAGTTCAAGGCAAGTGCTTCCGGAAGGACACAGGATTAGTGCAGACCCCTGTTCCTATCCCTGATATAAGGTTCAATCGTGATCATTTTCATTACCCTGTAAGTAACGAAACACGATCAACCTGCAAGGTGCATGTTCAGAAAGTTAAAACAATATACAGCTGTGCCATTTGTGTGAGAATGTGTCCTGAGCCATGCTTTCAAAGATACCACACAATGCAAGACTATTTCTTTGAAGATGA